TGTATTTGAATCACTTATTGTCTCTTATGATTTGATTAGACCAATCTGATGAGCGTAGAAGTGCTGAATCTCTTGCGCTTCCTGATGCCGATGCATCACCACCTCCCGCCGCCCGTACTCCTGCTTCAATGCCCGTTCCGGCTGGTCCCAGAAGGGCCGCTCCTCCTCGCCGAAAACCCGCCAAATCTCCAACTCCATCTCCCGCCGAAGACAAGCAGAAGAATAGGGAGAGTCTTGCTAGCCTGGATATCACGTCACATCCTATCAGCGATTCAGAGGGCGCGCCTAAGGAGGAGCCACTGGATGTTGTTACTGAGCCAGTGTTAGAATCGCCCACCGAAACTGCAAAATCCCGCACCACGAATGAAGGATCCATCTCTCCTCATGCTGTTGAAGCTGACGTCGCGGATATCCGAGTATCTCCGGAGTCGCCCTCATTCCAAGGTCGAATCGATCTACCCGAAGCGCCTACGAGGACATCTGAGTCAGGCTTGCAGCTGGGTCTTGACGAGAACTCAGATGCGCCTGTAGAGGAGCATCTCTCTCCTGCCTCGGAGCCGCCGGCCCCATCTGTCGAAGAAGAGGAGGAGGATGAGGAGACCAGACGCAATCACGTCGCCGAGAGGATTGCCAAGATGGGTGGAATCAGCCCCTTCGTTCCACCCCCACTTGAGAGGAAATCGAGCACCAGTTCGAATGTTTCGGATATTGTAGCGCCGCAATCGCCCACAAGCCAGAAGCGTACCAGTGTTGGATCTATTTCACAATCTCCGAAGAGACACCTGAGCATTAGAAAGCCATCTATCGACGAGATCCCGGTTGAAGAACAGTCTAGTTCTATACCATCTCCACCACGCCGTCGCAGTTCTCAGTTCAGCGAGAAGTCTCTGGCCATCATTTCGCCTCCCCCTAGAACTCGCAGTATTGATTCAGTAACCTCAGGAGAACAGATACATGTTAGCTCGAAGAGACGATCTCAGGATGGTAAATATTAATGTTTTTTCCCCCTCGTTTATCAATCGTAAAATGTGTAACAAATATTGATTTGATTCTTTTGCTGTCTCGTAGACGCTATCTTCGTGCGGGATGAACCAGAACCCAGATTCCCCGTCAGGATCACAGAAGAGCCAGAGTCATTTGAAGAAGAGATTAATGCGAGGGGTGCAGCTGCTATCGAAGTGGAGAATCAGGCCGAGACGAAATTGGATACAGAGTCAGTCGATGAGGATCAGGGACTATCAACCCATGAAGAGAAAGCTTCTCTCGTTATTGAGGATCAGGATGAAATTGATGACGATGATGCCCGTCTGCCGCAGCAGACCAATCTCGGGCCCCCGAGCAGCACACGGCCGTCTATCCCGGCGTCCGAGTCTGTTGATACTCCGCCTCCACCGCCACCACCACGAAGGCTTTCCATACAGCGTGTAGATGACGACGACATTGTTGTCGTCTCACCGAAACGCACATCGATTTCGCCGCCACTCGCATCTACCGCAGAGGCCGAAGACCATGCTATTTTTGCCCCGCCACCGCTGCGCACGGTCCCTCCTCCACCATCTGTTGAGCATGATTCACCGATATCGCCAACATTGCCTTTACAAATCCCTCCCCCGCGATCTTTTTCTATCCTGCAGTCGCAGACTGTGGAAGAGGATGATGAAAGCACGCCTCTTCCTCATCCAGGCCCTTTCCATCGTCCCGTTCCTCCACCGCAGCGATCGATGTCTCAATCAAGCGACCAATCTGACATAGAGACGCCTCCAGTGTCTGTACACCCGCATCCTCACCGTTCTATTCCTCCTGTTCCTGTAGAAGAGGTAGAGTCCGATCAAGAAGCAATACCATTACCCCCGCCGCCTCCAAGGCGCCCATCTCCTGCCTCAGAGGAGCAACCCCTGATCATTCCTCCGCCTGTGAGAAGGGAGTCCATGAAAATCCCTCCTGGTCTTGAAGTAAACCGGCGACCCTATACCCCGCCTATGTCGACTCCCACAGTTTCTGTCAGCGACCATTCTTCAGAGCAAGAGATTTTGGACGAAGAAGAGGGCGGTAGGTTCATCAATACCGATCTTTGGGACACTGATAGATTGGTGAATAGATCCAATTGATCCGATATTCCATAGCCCGAGCAGGCGTGCGTCGTATAACAATATTCAAGACCAGACTGCGTCACATATACGAGAGCCTGCATCGCCATCCGCTTCTGTAAGTTCGCATATGCGAGAACCGGCCGCAGCGACATCGCCAGCACCCGTTGTCACAGAAACCGCATCGGTTGAAGAGCCTATTGGAGCGGAACCGGAACAAGAAAGGCGACGGACAATTGCCGAACGGATGGCGAAACTAGGCGGGATCAAGTTCGGTGCTGCGCCTATTCCGACCTCACGGCCTCCGCCCCCGCCTCAGAGATCTCCCGAAATTCGAGATGATAGTGCCGAAGGAACTCAACTGGAACAGGAAGAGCCGGAGTCTGCGGAAGAACCGGATGAAGAGGAAGAGGAACGGGCACGCAAAGAACGTATTGCCGCCAAGTTAGCAAGTATGGGTGGAATGCGGATTGGAATGATGCCTTTGGGTGTTGGTGTTTTGCCACCATCGTCGTCTGGTCCATCTCAAAAGCCCCCACATTCATCTGTTCGAGCCCCTCCTATGCCCCGTGCACCACCGCCGACCGAAACGCAAGAGACTGATTCTGAGCAAGAGAGTCAGGCAACGTCAGACGATGTGGTTAAAGTGGAGGCAGAAGAAGAGAGTGGCGCAGAAGAGGTTCAATACGAGGAAGTTGATGAGGTACCTGAGGACATACCTCCCCCGCCTATTCCTACTCGTGAAGGCAGACGAACATCGGTGCAGCGTCAAGTCTCGACGGACCTTCCACCAGTTGTCACACAATTACCCTCTCGTCCTCCCCCTCCTCCTGGTCGTCCACCTGTGCCCACAACAACTCTTCCACGACGCACTAGTGTCCAAACTGTGACATCTATCAAATCATCCCATAGTGATGCTAGCGCCAATCCTCCTCAGACACATAAACCCCAGTATGACTTTGTCATGGTTGAGGAACCTGAGGCGCAAGATATTCCTCCGAAGCTTGTTACTCGACCTCCTCGAGGACCACCGCCACCGCCGCCGCCATTCTCCGACAGCTACTCCTCCTCGAATGGAGCTGTCTGACAGCGTATCATCGCAGTGGGAGCTTCCGTCGATTCCGAGCTCCTCGCTCGAATTTGGTACCGGTGGAAACATGTCGGTGCCGTGGACCGATGATGCAGCGGAGACAGCGACGGCTGTCCCTGCTCCTGCACCCGAGATCATTAAGCCCACAAAGAGCCAAGAAGACGCGATTTTGACCTCAGAAGAGTTGATTGCGATATGGGGTCGTATTGGCGTTCAAGTGTGTGAAGTGGCTACGTCGTTGAATGATAAGTCAAAGAAAGCGTTGATTGGCGATGGGACATATCATGGATTCATCGAAGCCGTCTTGAACGAGGTACCAGGAGCAGCGCCGCCTTCTCCTCCATCGTATGGCTATGTTATCTATATGCAGTCGGGTTCTTCGGTGCAGAAGAGAGCTGGAGAAATCATGCCTGGAGATGTTGTGTGGCTTTCGGATGCCAAGTTGAAAGGACATAAGGGTATTCAGACGTATAGTCAACATGTGGGCACGAAGGAGCCGCTTGTTGGCATTATCAGCGAGTTTGAAGCGAAGAAGTTCAAGCTCAGAGTGTTCCAGGCGAACCAGCATGTCGGGCAGCAGGTAATTCTTTTAAAATCGTAACCCGTTATTTCTCTATTAACGATTGTTCTAGACAGTGGAGTCAGTAAGCTACCGCTTGGAGGACTTGAAGAGCGGTGTTGTGAAGGTATGTATCATTCAAGTTAATATGATATCTCTGCTGACTCCGTTATTAGGTCTTCCGGATTTTGGAAGCATAACTAATGAAAACAGAGCTATGGTTGCACCATATGGATATTATTCATCATTTTTTCAAAAGTTCGAGTCAAATTCCATTCAGTTACGTAGTACATGCGCAACCGGTAGGAGCTAAACATGGATACTATGAACATCATTGGTATGGAACTAGGAGGAGGACATCATATACTCACTTGAGCGGTAACAATAGTCGACTTGGATTCTATAATCATAACACATTCAGCATCTACTGAGTGAGAGTGTGCCCACCAGCGCCATTGCCTTTGATATTTCGTCCAGAATGGTTCTCGACAAGTTTCTGGTATTCAGCTAAGTGCGTAGAAGTCAGGATTGCTAGTCATCAGACAAATAATCAAACGCACTTTTCACTGAAGTATTGTCAGATTTCTGTTTCTTGGTAGGCGGGTCTGCAAGTGTCGAGTCAGCAGTAGCCGGGGGTGATCGTTTCCCTCGATTCCTCTGGTATAAGATGAATGGCTGCTCTGCTGCTGATGAGGGTCAACTCACAAAACGGTTATCAAAGTTTCTCTTTCTAAGCACCACAGTCATGATAAGTAGAGAACGATACAAAGTATATCATGGGCTGACCTTTCAAGCTCCTCTTCACGTTTACGCTTTTCGTCAACTTCCTGTAAAGAGGTTCCCTTGTCTTCAGAGCTGAACGGAAAACGAGGATAGGAGATGAGATTGATGTATATTCATACCTTCATGCTGCGCTGGATGCGGTCTAGGAAAGAACCATCGTTAGAAAAGACATTGACAGGTTTCAGTCCTGGCTTAGGTTTCGGTGGTGGGGGTATAGGATAGGCGTAACCCACGTAGCCGTTGACGTTGGGGTAAAAAGCTTGAGACATCGTGATGGTGAAGAAGAGAGCTGCTGTGGCTGTGTCGCATCGGGTAGGCAGAAATTTCGAGAATGATTTTCCGAAAATTTGTACTTCAAAGAACAATGCAGTGCCCATGACCACAAAACAGATTAGGAACTGCATATTTACCACTGAGTCATTAGAAAAATTGAAGACAATGAAGAGGATCATTAATCAGGACAACAAGTATGAAAAAACATTGATTCAACTGAGGCTTGAACTCAGGACCTTGTGTGTGTGAGACACAAATCATAACCACTAGACCATTGAATCGACACCTGTCACAATATGCGTACATATATGACCCGAGGTCTTGCCTGAAACAATTACTAAAGCGCGTACATGAGGCTCCTGAAGTGATGGAAACACAAGGCGCATAGTTTCAATCTATGAATTGGAATCCCTACGGGATACATCTCATCTATGCATCGGGCATCATGAATCGTTTCACTACGGGCTTGGCCTACCGTGGTACGCTCGGTAACTTGTCACCCATGGATATATACATAGCCCTACATAGCCACTGTTGCTAATAGATCTATGGCGTTACGACTTGGCCAACCATATCTTGACAATATAACGCGGAACCGCCGTGGGAACAACGCGAGATTCGAAGCACCGTGGGAACAATACGCCTTTTCCAAACTTCCTTCCGTCGCCCGCCACGGAGTCGATTCCAGGCCCCTAGAAATATCTTGCGGCAACCTCCAAAATGTCTCGCCGCAGGCTGGTGGGCCAGCCATTACTATATGTTGTATCTATCTTCGCCAGCCTAGGCGTATTTCTTGTGGGTTCTCATATTTCTGCAAGGTGGAAATTGCCAGCTTATCACGTCTTCCCCAGTTTGGCTATGATCAAGGGTAAGAAGCCGCGGAACCTTGTACAGTAGAGAAGCAGCAGTTCATGACTTTCACAGTGTCATGTCGGGTATCATAACGGGTCCCCATTTCATCCAGTTTTTCGGTAGGCCGGGTCCGATACAGGTAGGGAGTATGGTTGCTGTGTTAGAAGTGGGTGCATTCGGTATGTGTTCTCCGTATGTTATTGTGAAACCTTTTCTGATTGTGAACACTTGTAGTGACTTCTCTAGCTGCTGGCCGAGTAGGCGACATCATTGGCCGAAAGGGAACACTATTCATCGGGGCTGTAGGTATTCACCCTGGGTGGGGTGGTACAGACATTTACGACCGGATTCGCAGTAATGGTGGTAGGACGGATTATCAGTGGATTTGGCGTCGGTCTTCTATCGTGCGTTGTCATCTAAGGGCTGGTCGTGTGCCCGTCGCTGACGTATTCGCAGCACTATCGTGCCTATTTATCAGAGTGAAATATCACCACCAAATCATGTATGACATCTACTCTGGTCAGCTTCACTATTGGCTAAATTTATGCAGAGAGGAGCACTGGCTTGCGTAGAGTTCACTGGCAACATCTTTGGCTACGCATTTTCTGTCTGGACCGACTATTTTTGTTCATTCATAGACTCAGACATGGCGTGGCGGATCCCTTTGCTTATTCAGTGCATCATTGGCGCCATCCTTGCCGCCGGATCACTAGTCCTTCCGGAAAGCCCTCGCTGGCTCATAGACACTGATAAAGATGACGAGGGATTGCGCATACTCGCGGACCTGCATGGCGGTGACCTCAACAACGTTGTTGCCCGGGCGGAATATCGGGAGATCAAGGATAAAGTCATCATGGAGGTACGTTCTAGCATGATAAACAACTTATCTCTTATTTGGGCATTGGCAGAGAGAATCCGGTGAGGCCAGGACGTATGCCGTGATGTGGAGAAAATACAAACGGCGCGTGTTACTGGCCATGTCATCGCAAGCCTTTGCCCAACTCAATGGCATTAATGGTGCGTCGCGAAATATTCAATTTCCCTCGATTGATACTCACCATGTTGCAGTTATATCTTACTATGCTCGTGAGTGGCGCTACTCTGCTCCATGCAACCCGGATGCTTACCTACCCGTTTTCTCGCAGCTAAAGTATTTGAAGGTTAGTAGTTATCAAAGATATCGCCGCATGATCGTATTCTCACGGAAAACGCTACGCAGAGGCTGGTTGGCTAGGCCGGCAGGCTATACTTATGACAGGAATTAATTCCTTAATATATCTCCTTAGTACACTACCACCGTGTGTTCCTTCCCTCATCTCCCGCCACTTTGTCTTACTCGTCGTTTTAGATGGTACCTAGTTGATCGATGGGGGCGTCGGCCGATCTTGCTCTCCGGTGCTGTTGTGGTGAATTTCCTTCAAAACTGTCTCCAAGATCTATGGCTCACCACCAAGTCTATAGATGTGTCTAGCACTTTGCGCTACAGGGTACTGGATATATCTCGACTTACCGGCAACGCCTAATGCTGTGGTGGCGTGTGTCATCATCTTTAACGCTGCTTTTGGATTCAGGTTGGTCTTTGCTTTCAGCCGTCCTCTTCCTTCGCTGATCTGGCTTCGTAGTTGGGGTCCACTGCCATGGCTGTACCCTCCAGAGGTAATGCTCCCCCTGATTTCTATAGTTCGGCTGTTAATATTTCTAGATCATGCCCCTCACTGTGCGTGCAAAGGGCGTGTCTTTGTCAACAGCGACCAATTGGGCGTTCAACACCCTCGTCGGTGAAATAACGCCTTACTTGCAAGAGGTTATAGAATGGCGTCTCTATTTCATGCACGGGTTTTTCTGTGCATGCAGTTTCGTTTTGGGTATGTCGTCTCTTCCGTCTAGCTCCTACATCTACCAGTACTGACGACCTTTTGAAGTTTATTTCCGTGGGTCGCTCTTTTCATCCCCAGTTTCAACGCTAACTTTCTCTCCCCAGTATACCCCGAAACGAAAGGCGTACCTCTTGAAGAGATGGATGCTGTATTTGGCGAAGATGAAAATACCGGTTACAAGACCGTTCCACTGTCCTCTACTGAGGAGCCTGCGTCGTTCTTACCAGGACCATCGTACCCACCAAAAGCAAAACACGCAAAGGGGACGTCAAGTGGATGGGTATCGAGGATGTTCAACAGGAATGGGAACAGGAATGGGATAAGCGAGGAAGAAGAGGCGTTGAGACCGGAGGAGGAGGACGCTGATTTTGAGATGTTGGAGAGGGAAGGGACAGGACGATAGCATGCGGTTAGACGTTTTGTATATTTATCAAGCATATACCAGTTGTAATAGTACTCTCACAATAATTTCCACGAACATACTTACAATCGGTTGGCCGTCGGCGAACCTGCCCTCAAGTACCGTAATAATGTCTCGTCTATCTCTCAGGTAACCCGGTATCTCTTCATTAGCCATCATCTAGATCGCCCCAAAGCTTGTGAGCTAGAGAGTTTTGTTCGCCTGCTTCAGCCGTTGAACGATGATACAGTGTATAACTGCTCGCGCCTCGCGTATAGATTTTGAGATGGATACTTCGTATACTTTTGACGGTTCTGACACCACGGCCGATGTCGTCCTAGTATCATGCGACAACATCCGTTTCCACGCGCACAGAGTCATTTTATCACTTGCATCGCCGGTTTTCAAGGACATGTTCCTGATAGCGCAACCACCGGCCGATGGCTCCATTCCTGCAATTCCAATGGACGAAGATGGTCAGACCATCGGGAAAATTCTTCGTTTCTGCTACCCCACTAAGGATCCGTCATTCAAGGATATATCTGAGATGTACCACGTGTTGGTAACCATGGCCCGGAAATATCTCATGGAGGACGTAGCCCTCAGAACTCGAAGCGAACTGCATCGGTTCTGTGAGTCAGGGACAAAGCCCTTACAGGTTTTTGCGATCGCCTACGCGATGGGATGGAAGCAGGAGGCCGCTGTGGCTGCAGAGAAGGCAATTGAAAGACCTCTATTGACCCTGGAAGATGACGATATCCCGGAACTCGACATCCTCCAGTCACCACGTATCATATACCGTCTTTTGAGGTTCCACAAACAGCGTACGGATGACGCTTACAAGTTGGCTTACATTGATGGGGATGAAGTCGACTTCGTATTCAAGAACAATCCCTCTTGCGAGCATCATGATATTTGCGAGCATGACGGGATTGGTCATTTCTATTACCAAAATGTTCCGCAAAAATCATGGCTCTTATACTACATGGGAGAGGTCCGAGATGTAATCCTTCTCAATCCGACTACGCCAAGTCTTCACGGCCGTCATGAATGGGCGGAGAGGCATGCTCGGAGTATCGCAGAGGCGTGCCCTGAATGCACGAAATGCGATCTTCCCACTCTCTTTGACCGGTATCTCCCCCAAACATATGTGAAGCGCATTGAAGAGGTTTTAAACAGGGTAAGCGTCTACCTCATCTCGAGGCCCTGAGACGTTGAAATGATTCATTTAAACAGAAATTATGTCTTTAGCGTGTGTCAAGGTTCTCAGGACAAAGGACTGTATGTAGGTACACGAGGATGGATGTTGGTATCCTTGTATAAAATATCTTTGTGTAATTCTATTTACAAAACGCGTCGATAGAGGTAAAATATGTGTTTGGAAGTTTTTGGTGGACGCGATGGACCCTGCCCTCAAGTGCACGTGGGCCTGTACTACGAGTTTTCGCTTGAGTTTCACCAGTGCCAAGCGTACCATCGAGTATCGACCTGCCCATTTCATTGAGGCTCACCCCGTGGTATTCATTAAGGGATTTTCGGCAAGTCAAATTGTCCATTTATACCTTCATCAATAACGTTCATTTCATCAGCGCGCGCTAAACAGGGGTATCTACTGTTTGCATTACCTACAGCTTCGCAGCTCTAGGCAATCTTCCAGAAATGGATGCTTCATATTCATTCGATGGTTCGGATGCCACAGCCGATGTCATCTTAATATCGTGCGACAGCATCCGCCTCTACGCGCACAAATTCATCCTCTCACTTGCGTCGCCTTTCTTCAAAGACATGTTCACTTTGGCCCAGCCACCTACAGATGGGACCCTCCCTACGGTCCCAATGACTGAAGACGGTGAAACCATAAGCCAAATTCTTCGCTTCTGCTACCCCATCAAAGACCCATCATTCGAGGAAATATCTGCGTTATCCCGTGTCATGGTGGTCATGGCAAGAAAGTACCTCATGGAGGACGTTGTTATCAGAGCCCGAACTGAGCTGCGCAAATTCTCTGACGCTGAACCCTTGCGCGTTTTTGTCATTGCGTACGCTATGGGATGGAAAGAGGAAGCCACGACGGCTGCAAACACAGTGATTGAAAGGCCTTCATCAGCAAAGGATGACGATGATATCCCAGAGCTTGACCTCTTACAATCTC